CCGTTACCCTAAGCTCAGTATACCGCGAGCTACAGCTCGCGGTATACTGAGACGCCGCACCTGGAGCGGATCCCGACTTAGATGACGGGATCCGCCCAGCTGCGTGAGTGACAGCTGGCTCTGCCTATCTAGAGGCAGAGCCAGCTGTACCCGCCCCCTCCCCCGTCCGTTCTGCCAGTCAGCGCTGGCAGATCGGAGCAGGGAGGGGGGAATCCAGCCCCTCCCCCTTTCACGGCAGAGAGCCGTAACAGGATCGAGAGGTGAGTGAACCTGGTATGTGTTCCCTCACCTCCTGATCTACTGAGCCGACCTGTGACAGTCTCATTGTCACAGGTCGGGTAGAACTATGAGGTGAGTGGAAATCACTCATGTCATAGTTCTCCTTTAATTGTATATTAGCTGTTTTAGCTATATTGGGTATAGGTTTCACTCAGCAAAGTCTCTTCTGCAAATGAAATCTCCCGATCTCTCCCCCAGTGCATGCACCATACACTGTGTTGGACTTCTGCAGAGAGACCACCGCTCCCCCACAAAGAACACAGGTCCAGAACAGAACGCCTAGAACATTGCTATGTCTTAAAAAGGGGTCTATTTGCATTAGTACTTCATGACTCCCAATTGTTCCTCATTTGGAGGGACTGTCCTCAGATCTTCTTACCACTAATTAGACCTCTTTAGTCTGATTGATAGATCGCTATAAAAATGTCTAGGCCTTTGAATTTATTCCATGACAGGCTCCCTTTAAAAATGTAATTTTTAAAGGGAACCTACACTGACCAGGACCAGCACTGATATTGTGCCATGTTTTTTTTTCAGGAATGGTGTCCTCTATAGTGAACCTGTGTTTTAGGCATGTAGGTCAAACCAAAAGCTTTGCTTTAGGCCTCATGCACAAGGGTGCCTGGGGTCGCACAAAGTACAAAACGGCATATTTCCCCACAGTTGATGCATGCAGCTGCCCATAGAAATCAATTACAGAATGCAGCTGTGTCTTTTTTTTCTTTTTCGGGACCCTTCGTTTATTTTTGGTATTTATATTGCGCTGACAATTTACACAGCGCTTTACATAGTGCATTCACATCAGTCCCTGCCCTCAAGCAGCTTACAATCTAAGGTCCCTATCTCACATGCATACATAGAGGGCCAATTTAGGTAGGAGCCAATAAACCTTCCACATGTCTTTGGAGTGTGGAAGGAAACCGGGGTAACTGGAGGAAACCCACACAAGCACAGGGAGCAATATTACTTTTTAGGAAACCCAGTCCTTTCCTACTGTCACAGGAGTGGGAAAAACAGTCAGCCCTGTGTAAGCCGTGACTAAAAATCTGGGTTGAGCTTACACTGAGGTCTTTTCCCACATTATCCACGGTTGAATAGAGCATCAGGGGGGTGAAGGGTGGGTAAGTGAATGCTCCCAGACACGGGGTGGGGGAAGAGAGAGTGAATTTATTGCTTTCACCCGGCATGTGCAAAGCACAGGTTCACGTAACTGAAAGGAGAACAAATATTACTCTGACAAAGATTTACATTTATTATTTTATGCGTGCGGTGACTTATTTTAAAAGCAGCCAGAGGGAACTGGCTGTACAGATAAGGCAATCTTTATAAAAAGGTAGAAACTACCAAATTCATAGAAGAAAAGGTCACATTAAAATGTGCGGTTACAATCTTCGCTGTTTACACATTTACTACATTCATTTTGGAAGATTTTGTCTATTTGGCACCATTTGTACGCAGTGCAGCATTTCATCTTCATCTTTAATAACTTGTAGAAAATCTAGCAAAATATCATTGCAAAATAAAGCAAAAACTAAAACCAATTATTTGCTGACCTTTATAAACGGACCCCTAGAAATAGTATACGTGCCTGCAATGGGAATGTAAGTACCATGGCGCCACCTGGTGGCCATGAAAAAGACTGCTGATGTCTTTAATCACTGTGTTAAAAGGGTTCTTCATGATGCAGGAGCTGTAAAAATTTAAATAATGTGTTTTATTAAACATTGCACTTTCTGAGGCATGCTACTTTAAGACTGAAAAAAGCTTTTCACTCATTTGGAGTCTGCAACCACTAAAAACGATATAGTAACCTCTCACCCCACATCTTAAATCACTAGGATGAAAAAATACTTACGATGGACCCATTCACACCTATGCGTATTGTAATATGCGCGTCTGTCGCGCGACCGTCACGCGTTTTTTTACCGCGATTCGCGGTAAAAAAGTCGCGCGACCGTCGCGCGATTCCAAAGGCTACTTGGCAGTATACAAATGGAAAACGCCCTACAAAACGGACCAAGACGCAGCAAAAACGCTCCGGGACCTTTTCATGCGTGGGCCGTTTTGTAGTGCGTTCGGGACGGGCGGAAATACGGACAGGTGGGAACGATACCATTGACTACAATGCTATTTATTTTTTTGAACGTTTTGTAGAGCGTTCATCGAGCGTAGGACGCGCTACAAAACGGTCAGGCGTGAATGGGGCCTTACTGATCCCCATGTGATCCTGGAAAAACTGAAGGTCCCAATTCTCACTTTGTCATTGTACAGCACTGTATTCTTGCAGGATATGCGATAGTGAGCTGCAAGGTCGGCTTTACTACCCGTTCACACACATGCAATGTGACATAGCACTTGTGGTTCAGAGTGATTTTAGTGCGTTGCATTAGTTCTGGTGACCCTGCTGACCACCAGGGATTTCCCTCCCCTTGGAAGGATTTCCTTTCACTTCCTGTTGTGGCTATCAGACAGGAAGTGAAGGAGAATCTCCCCCAATGGGACACAGATGACAGAAACACTGATGGGGGTTATAACCTTCCCTTACTCTATCCAAAACTAAAAAAATACGTTTTGGCTTCAGTTCCAATTGAAAATGAGACAGATTTTCACTCTAAACAGACACACAAATTACTAAGTTGACATTTAACTAAAAAGGGGGTGACATGTGACAATCCCCAGGGGCCACTTTCCTATTTTGTTTTTCTTTTGTGTTTTGTTTTTCTTTTGTGTTTACTACAAGGATACAAGTTGTATCCTTGTAGTAAATCTGTTGCACAACCTGTATCAATGCCCCTGAGGTCATCACAAGTGCCAAATAACAATTTCATTCAGATTTGCCAATCTCCTTGGTTGGCCATTGTTGGCAACTGGACCACCCAGAGCCATTAACAAGAATCAGGTGGCACTGACATCTACCAACTTCCTGCTTTGGACTTCTGCAATGCGTGTGTGTTATTGCAATGTGCACTAATGTATGTTACATCCATTGACATGTTGCAGTGGCATTCATTTTAAATAGCCCCCCTTCCTACCCATGCACTAAGGCAATGCACATGCATTGCAATACACTAGCGTGCTGCAGTGCACAGCTCCAAAAATGTTGTGGCATGTCTGATATTTGGAACGTTTTGGTGCATTGTATTTAACAGTCTGCCTTGATGTAATGCACATTAACTTGCGACATAATGTGCATTGATGCACATGCATTAACGCATACGGGCACTAAAAGAGATCACAGTACTCCCTCTGACAAGGGTTCTTCTTTTCTTCAGAAGGAAGATGTCATCTCTTTTCAGGCATAGTCCAGGATCACTATCTACTTCCTAGATGGAGATGCTTGCCCTGAGATGACACAGTCATAAATCCACGTGCAGTAACCTTCATGTCCTTGGTTGTGTGTACACCTGTCTCCTCGCACACACATAAGCCCCTACCTGCCAACTCTCACTCTCTGACCAGCCAGTGTTAGACAAGAAAAAAATCAACTTCGCTGCCTCTAACCCTAGTTTACACTGGTTGTTTCCTTTTTCTCCCCTGCAAAGAGAAATCATTGGCGGGAAGACTAAGAAATGCTTTGTCCTGCATGTGGATGACAGATGACATGACAGATAAAAGTTCCTGTCAGGCAGACCTGAGGGTTCCCTGTTAGGGCACACTAACGTGTCTACAGCTCAAAGACTAAACAAAACGGTCAGGCGTGAATGGGGCCTTACTGATCCCCATGTGATCCTGGAAAAACTGAAGGTCCCAATTCTCACTTTGTCATTGTACAGCACTGTATTCTTGCAGGATATGCGATAGTGAGCTGCAAGGTCGGCTTTACTACCCGTTCACACACATGCAATGTGACATAGCACTTGTGGTTCAGAGTGATTTTAGTGCGTTGCATTAGTTCTGGTGACCCTGCTGACCACCAGGGATTTCCCTCCCCTTGGAAGGATTTCCTTTCACTTCCTGTTGTGGCTATCAGACAGGAAGTGAAGGAGAATCTCCCCCAATGGGACACAGATGACAGAAACACTGATGGGAAGATCTTATTGATATGTCCAATTTTCATACGCTGCTCACACAGTAGTCAACAAAAGACTATTAAGAACAATTTTTATAATTGTAATATTAAGCGAGTGATCTGAACATAAAGGTATGAGCTGCTTTTATCTCATGGATGAGATCAGGGTGGAACCAGACTTGCAATATTCCACAATATAATCATCTCTCATTAAAGATGATTAAAGTGTTCAGCGATCTAAGGAAGATTATTAGATTGTGATCAGAGCCAAAACTGTTTCTTACAAAGTTAACGCACACAAAGAGGGGAATTTATCAAAACTGGAGCAGACTCTCTTTGCCTAAAGTAGATCTAAAGCCAAAACCTTTTTGGTTTTTTTTTAGAACACCTGTCAGGTTTTTAATGCAGTCCCCATTAGAGATTCACCATCCCTATTTGTCCTGGTGACCGTTATCACTGAAAGTGAAAGAAAATGCCTAATTTTGGGTTGTCACCAGAACAGGAGTAGATGAGAAATGTTTCAATGGGGTCACAAGTTATGGCCACACATTCTTTTCCATCCTCAGTAAATAAGAGCAGTCATCTTCTATACGCTTCTTGGCCTCCAAAGGGTGTCTGCAGACAACAGTGATAGGAATCCGGCCATGCACATGGCCATTACTATGAATTTTACCACCAGGAACGCAGATGTGCTGTATATTTGCCAAGTGGGTCACATAGGAGGCAGGACATTGAGGTGTAATCGGTCAGTTGAGATCTGAGGTGTGCAGAGATTACAGAAGGCCATTGCAAATACTGAAGGGAGATGCAGACACAACCCAGATGCATTCCCATAAATCAATGCTTGGCTCAGCAGAGCCTCTCTGTTCATTACTATACACAGAGGAGGAGGAGGGGGAAGGAAGGCAGTGCAAGTGGTTATGAGCATGAGAACAGTTTTTTTTTTTTTTAATTTGATTCATTTCACTTCTGAAATCAGTCGGTCAGTGTGGATCTGATCCATAATTGTGAAAGAACCAGGTGGCAATTATGGGTCGGATCAGACCAAGGTTGAACATGACTAATGGCAACTGACATCTACCGTGGTTCACAAATGGGCAATCTGATGGGGAATGCTGAACTTTAAACTGTGTGGATTCCCTGCACACTCAGGTGAACTCAGTTTAGTTTTACTCAAGCCTTGGGGTACACGCTTTGGATTCCATTACATCTGCTTATGAAAAGGACTACATAATACTACCAGCAACGCCCTAACTGTAGATAATGTTACAAGACAGCCTTAGGCGAGCCTACAACTGGGGAATAGTGCTAAGAAAGAAATCTGAACTGGCTCATATAAGAACTTCAGGAATGCTGTGTTTAAAATCCATCCGTGTTAGTCACAAAAGGGTGAAGAGTTTGGAGAAGGCCGGAGAAGTGAACAATCTAGGACAACATAGATGATTTGGAAACATTCTCCAATTCCGCTCACTTTCCAGGTCAGCTATGTTGTCCTAGATTGTTCACTTCCCCGGCCTTCTCCACACTCTTCACTTTTTTTGTGAATAACCCTGTAAATGATTTACACTGGACACCAGTGAGTGCCACCAGTTCTTCTACATCTCTGCAGGAAACAGAAGACTGTACTGACTCTTTAACCACTAGTTGCACTTTTCCTACAAATAATTTTAACAGAGGACGTAAAGCCAAACCACTTGCATTTGCCTTCCCTGGTTCCTCCCTCGCCCCCATCACCATGTTGTTACATTTTAAAAAAAAACTTCTAGTTTTCTATTACATACATCATTTTAGACCCAGTGATGTCATCATTGGGTCCTGGGTCCCTGTACTTTTTTTACACAATGCAGGCAAATCATTGCTAGTGGGTGGAAGCCCTCCTAGTGCTGCACATAGCTTACTGAAAACAATACAGAGAGTCTGATGCAAGCAGTGGCTGGCTATTCAGAAGTGTTTATAACTATCAAAAAATATAAATATGTCTGGATAGGTGAATGTCATTCTGAAGGAGTGGGGGATCCTTGAAAGAATTTGCATGCAGGCTGCTCTAAGTAATGCCCTCATGTGACCCTTAGCCTCCATGATTGAAATAACTAAAATCCAGTCAATGAAAGGGGCAGGCCAGGGACAGTAAGTCTGGGAAGGAAAGTACTGGGTGATACTGACATCCTCCAGCCAGGAAATGTGGCAGGCTCTATGTGACTAGCTGCAGCTTCTAATGCACATTGTGAGAAGCTCACAGAATACAGTGAAATCAGAGTAAACAATTCCAGTACAGACGAGGACCCTTTATAACTGTGCAATGCTGAAGGTGAGGCTGGACTTCAGCTTTCATTTTTTTGGTAAGTAGGGAATTTTTTTCTCGCTTTCTGATGCTACAGGAAGTGATAGGAAATCACTTCAAAGTGAAAGGAATTTTACAAATGTCCACATGGGAAGATTTCTTCCTCACCTCCTGTCCTGATGATAACTGTAAAATATACTGGGTTTTCCATCATGTCCTGTCCAGGTCATGGTCACCCGACAAATAGATAGGGCGGGGAACGCAGTAATCAAAACCTGACAGAGGTTGTACCCTTGCCTACCTACCCTAAATCTAAAAGGAAAATCATCTGGCTTTAGGTACAGAACTCTAACGACAGCTGACATGAATAAATGGCACGGTTCACTCAAACACTGTTCCAGACAATAGTCCCTAAATGTCACTTTGCCCGTCTAGAATCACGCCACATGGGATGGAGCAATGTAATGCTCCAAGTGCCCCACCACGGGTAGGTCCACCCTGACTGTGAAACCAACCTTCTTTATCTGCTGGGAAGTTCTACTGATCGGTCCGGGATGCCCTTCAGGAAAGACAGTGTTGATCCCTGTTACCATCATGCCAATATTTCTGTGATCCCCTTTCACCACTTTTGCTCTTTCTCTCAGACTTCTCATCAAACCAAACCCATGGAATGGTGACCTGCTCTGTTGATCATGAAGATATCTCCATTGCACACCAAACCAGAATTTACACCTGATTCCAAGTTCCTGACGTTCCAATGTCCATCCGTACATTACCATCATTTACTGTGTAGTAAGACAGCTAATATTACATCACATGCTGGTCTATGGAGAGTTATCAGAGGTCAGTACAAGCATTCCACCATCATATTTGCTTTGCTGGTTTACGTTTTGGTGACGTCATTATGATGTAATAATGAGGGTTACCTGCTTCTTCTCATTAGTGTAACACCTGTATACATGTTGGTGAGCTATTTCTATTATTTATGTCACTTTGCCTGATTAAGGGACCCCTGGTGGACCAAAACACTTTTTGCATTATATGCTGATCAAATGTCAATAGAGACAATTTGACTGGAGAAGAATGAGGTGTGCTGGTAACATACTTTGAACTGCCCTGCTGACTGGTACCCCTTGCAGTAACATCACTGGTGTACGTCCGGAATGGTACCCTACAAGGCAGGCACTGAATATGTGACCATTCTATATCATACTTATCTATGAGAAACTTACTCAAAGAGTACGTAGCGAAGAAGCCATTGGCCTGGACTGAAGTGTCGCTGTGAAAGTAAACCATCAGAGAACTGCTAGCAGATGTAAAACTCAGCTTGGGAATGGCTCCACATGTTCTCTTCTGCCTTCGTCCATCTTGAAAGAGAAGATAGTCGTAAGAGCAGCCTGTGGACAATTCCAGGCTGATGGGAGCAATGCTTACTGTAATCTGCAACAACACAAGATATTAACGTAGAGGTAGGGTTTCATTTCTTAGTCCTAGCATACTCAAAGCATTAGGGCCAGATTCACACTGTTGTGCTGCATTAATGCATGAGTGTTAACCTGCATTGTGTTAAAGCAGCCTATTCATTTAAATGGGCTTTCTAACACCCCAATATACACAAAAAGGTGCATGCAGTATTTTCGGCAGCATGGCGGATTGGCAATACATGTTTGTTGTGCTGTGTTGCAATGCAAGTGCGTTGAGAAGGCGCTTTGGTGTGTCGCTCATAATGAATGGCACCTCATAGCACCAATATATGTAACGTGCCTTACCGCAGCGCGACAATGAGAATGGGGCTTGGAGGATTCCATATGTGCATCATATTTACCTTGTGGCCAGGAGGAGCAGAAAACACCCATACACAGTCCATGGAATTAGGGTACAGCGCTGGAAAACCAGGAGAAGAGAAGTTTCCAGTCGAGCTGTTAAAGGATTCCCCACAATTTACTGCAATAGAGGAAAGCCATGCATTGTATAAGGCTGTGATATATGGAGGACTAGTAAGGAATTTGTACTGTAGAGTGATACTGTCAGCCTTATTATTTAGAGTCAGAGTCCCTTCTATGAGTAGACACCACACAGTGCCTACTATTATTCTGGTTAGTCAGAAAAGTCTTCTGTGAGTTCCTCCCTGATACTTCTTTCACTAGGGGCCTGACTTCAAGTGAACCCATGTTTTGTTCATGCAGGGTAAAGCAACTGGCTCACTTAATTGCCCCTTTGTACTTCCAAGCCTAAGGGAGAATGTGACTCTCCCCCTTCCTAATGCAGTGAAGTGTTTGGTTTGTAAGTGGTCCAGCCTCAGCCTACCACGTAGTGGTAGGGAAAGAGTCACCCCAGATCAACTTTGAGCTTGTTCACTTTGCTCTAGCATGCAAACAGAGTGGCATTTGGTGTAGGGATGAGGTCAGGTTAAGATCAAACCTGAGATCCTCCGAAACCCGGAAGCGACATGGGACCACCTGAACAATCAGCTGCAGGCCAGGGCTTTTCCTGCCTCGCAGCTGTACATAAAAGGGGCGAGATGCTTGATCATCGACCTTATATGGCCACATGGTCATACTTGGTCAAGGTCATTGACCAAATGTAGCCACGTAACCATATAAGGTCAACAACCTCACTGCATCCCGTCACTTTGCTTGCGTGTAGCTGTGGGCAGGGAATTCCCCAGCCTGCAGCTGGCTGGGCAGTAGCGGAAGCAGCGTCCTTCTCTGTTTAGAGGAGCTCAGGTTTGGACCAGGTTCTGTCGGAACCTGAGCTCTTTCCTACTTGGGAGCAAAGAAGTGGAATAAAAGCTCTGAACCTGCAAAGTTTATCCTATTGGTGTGTCTGCCCAAATATCATGTGACACACTTGGTATAGGTGATCTGACTACCGGACAGGAAGCTTCTACATTCCAGAGGATCTCCACTGTCTTCTTGGTTTTTAGTGTCAAATTGCAGGATTGTGAATTGAAGTGCCACACTGTGCTTAATAGTCCAGATGCATCTTAATTCAATATAGGGTTAGGAATGGTATAGAAATGGCCAATGTGTTTTGGGGGCTCATACAATTACCCCCTGCAGCAGGGTTTGTCCAGTGTGTGAGAATGCATAGAGCTCTTCAGCAGCTGATTTGGCAGTCTACTCTGGACTATTAAATGGAGTGTGGCGCTTCAATCTATCTGACTTGCTGCAACTTCTAATGCATACTGCCCTGATTCAAGGAGTAGGCTGGCTCTTGGAAGAAGGTATGCAAAAATCAAAATGTTGAATGGGAATGGGCATTCCTAGGCAGGCTGTATTTGCATGCAGGCCGCCTTATGTAACACTCACATACGATGCTGAGCATTTATAATTGAAAGAACTGAAATACAATGAATAAAAGGGGCGAGCCAGGGACAGTAAGGCTGAGGAGGAAAGAAGTAGATTAATCTTGATGTCCTCCAGCCAGGAAATTAGGTGTGCTCTATCTAACTTGCTGCAGACAAATGCACACTGCAAAATCAGAGTAAGCAATATCAGTACAGGACAGGCACCCGTACAACTGTGCAAGACTGAAGGTAAGGCTGGAGTTCAACTTTAACAAGCAATGATGAGTAGCTGAAGTTGGAGTTAGCACAGGAAGTGGCTAAAAGAGACAGGACTTTAGCCAACTAAATGTCATCCAGTTGAGGTTTAGTTCTACTTCTGATTGATTTCATAGTTCTATTGAATACTGTGCCATTAAAGAGAGTGCTTATACTCACTGGTATTGTATCTGGCCTTAAAGCTGGCCTCTCTCCCTCTGCTGGTGGACTCAATTCTCAGGAGCTTTCCAGAAGCCACATGGCCAAGTGGGCGCATCTTTCCACATGTACCGGGCATGACGACTGGGGCCTCTCTGCTCATCCCATCATAGACAGTCACAGAGGCTTGGTTGCAGGCTGAAGAAGGCTGGACACTGAACTTCTCAAACTGCAGGAAGACCTGGAGCAAAAAAGGACGACCATTCAGTCATTAATACAGATACAGTGCACTCACTCTTATATGTAGCCCACTCAGTACAGAGGCTTCCTGTTCATTCGAGGAGGTACAGTACTCTCCCCACTTATGAATGGACAGGAAGCCTCTGTACTGAGTGCTCCTGTCCATTCAGAAAGTAAGTGATTACTATGTCCCCAATAATGTATGAACAGGAAGTGATGCCTGGCACTTACACATCAGAACTGGGGACATAGTAAGCTTACTATGTCCTCAGTTATTTACAAACACCGAGTGATCACAACTGATCACTCGGTGTTTGCTCAGTACATGGAAGGATCAGCAAATATTTCACATAATTGCTGGTCTACCGCTTGGCATCCTGAAGCTCTGCCCCCTCCCTGCTCTCTATCCTGACAGGTCCGCTCAGCGTCCTTGCACTGATCTCTCCTCCCAACTGGACACCGGCAGCTGGGTCAGCTCTGTGTCTCCTCCGACCCCCACTTCCTCTGGCGACACATGCAGGGAAGAGCAGTGGGGATCAGAGGGGACACATACCGCATGATACAGCTGGCCCCCAGCAGGGAGGCAGCTTCCAAACCAGGCCCCCCTGCTGACCCGATGGGGCCCGGTATGGGAGAGCAAAGAAGTGGAATGCTGCCCGTAATGCCCCTACAAATTTGGCACCCAGGGCAACTGCCCTTTCTACCCCCTCAGCCTGCCTTTACCTCCCAAGTCCTTGACCCACCCCTGTCATTCATTGGACTTCAGTTCTTTCAATCATGGAGGTTCAATATAACATGTGGGCATTACCAAGCATGCAAATACAATACAATACAACCTGCCTAGGAATGCCCACTCACGCAGACTGACATCAATGCATTCTGACCACTTGAAGGGGGGGAAGGGTGCTGTTCCACATGGGTCATCAAAAATTCACCAGGTGATCTTTTTTCTCTCCCAACCCCACTCCCATACACATCTACCCACCTGGCTCTTAGCAACCATTGACATCAATAGTTGCTAAGAGCTGGGCATGATGCCGACCAGAGCGTCCCTGATTGCTAAGAGCCATGGAGAAAGATGTGTAAGTGCCATACACATCTCCCCACCTGGCTCTTAGCAACCAAAGCGGGCGTTTATGTACAGTATGTATGGTGCCGGGACTCTGGCCAAAACCACATCTCCCCGCTCGGCTCTTAGCAACCTGGGATACTCTGGCTGACATCTCACCCTGCTTCTGGTCACCAGTGATGTCACTAGTTGCCAGGAGCTGGGTGGAATGCCAGGGGTGCAATTTGTTGTAGATACGCCCCTGCTTCTTTTCACAGGTACCAGGGGTTATAGTCTTAATTTAAAGGTGAGTGGACATTACTCATGATCAAATGAATGCAGCCTCAACTAGATAGAATAAAAATATGGTAAAGCATCATCTGTACGTCAGTCCTGTTACCTTGCCTTCCGGGATCCGGATCAGCCAGACACAAGTAGAGACATTTGGATGCTCTTTGGAGTCCCAAGAGAAGGTACCATGGTGATCTGGCAGAAGGTAGCTGCACATATCTAATATGAAAGTACAAGATCATCAACTGTATGTCCAGAAATGTATATCTGAGGCTTCATTCACAACTCTTATTTAAACAATATATAAAAATATTTTAGATAGATAGATAGAAAGGGGCAGCACAGTGGATTAGTGGTTAGCACTGCAGCACTGGGGGTCTCTGGTTTGTATCCCGTTCAGGACACTATCTGCATGGAGTTTGCATGTTTTCCCTGTGCTTGCATGAGTTTCCTCCAGGTACTCTAGTGTCTTCCTACACTCCAAAGATATGCTGGTAGGAAAACTGGCTTCTGCCTAAATCAGCCCTTGTATATATAGTATGCATACACATGTGAGATAGGGACCTTAGATAAGCTTTGAGGGCAGGGACTGGTGTGAATGTACAGTATGCAAAGCACGGCATAAATTGTTGGCACTATATAAATACCAATAATAGATAAAGAAAATAAAAGTATATCTGAAGATAAAACTTTTTTTGTTTTCAATTTGGATCGAGCAGAGAACGGTTAAAACCCCTGTTTTTGTTTTTAGGTACCTTAACCTAGGGCTGTAGCTAACATGGGGCGAGTGCCTCAGACTCAGGCGCAGCTGAGAGGGGGCACAGCCAGGGCCAGCCTGGCTGCGCCCCCTTGCTCCTGTTGCCATGGTGAGCACAGGGCGCCATGGCAACAGGGGCACCAGCTGGCCAACACAGCCGTGGCTCGGTAGGGAGAAGTGGGGCGTCACAGGCTTCAACTTCTCCTCGGATCCCCGCTGCTCTCCCCCCGCCTGTATTTACCGACCCTCTTTGTGCAGAGCAAACATTGGAATGATTAGCTGACCACTCCAGTGTTTGTAAATAACTGGGGACACATAGTATTATGTTTCCCCAGTTATGAATAAACAGAAAGTGATTTATATCACTTCCTGTTCATTCATGCTTTTCTCAATGGGTGGAAGCACTCACTAGAGAGGCTTCTATACATTGACTAACTGGATGATAGTAAATATTTTTACAAATAGTCTTTCCATTCCCTTTCCACCTAACTGCATCCATAGAGTTTGTTTATCTTCACAACATCCAGAGAACTCAACCCAACGCGTTGGCCAATCGCAGCTTTGGGGTCCCCTATGGGCTCCAGGGTGGGCTTCCCAGCATCATTGGCGAAGGCAAATCTACAGGAAAACAGTGACATTGATATAAGAGCCTGAGCTGGTTGAACAGTCTGTCCCCTAGAACCTATTACATGACTGAGGGACATACTTGCCATAGTGCAGAACAGACAGGTAATCGTACGGCATTCCCAGGTTTTGGGTGCTCATTTTGTAGAAGTTACGCTCCTTGTCTATGAGAAAATCAAAGACACATTTACATTTACGTCAATCATTCATCCAGAAATAGTAATTTCTAAGGGGTGATAAACCCCAAAGGAAGCCGTATAAAGAGAATGACGCTGCTGCCAGGACTCCATGCAGATGCAGTTGCTCTCCTGCCTAGGCTACCGATACAACAAGGTAATAAAAGAAGCCTGAAAAGCAGCGATCCAAAAATAGGAAATGTATTTAAAATCAGAGACACAGATCTATTAGGTACGCAGCTAATGGCTTGATGTGTTTCGCATCGTCAGGTGCCTGATCGCAATCAAAGGAAGCCATTTGATGATGGGGATCTTAGTGTCATCATATAATGCAATGCTTAAAGTGATATTAAAGTCAAAAGCTATTTCAAATGCTGATGAAATCAATCGCACCTTCATGTTTAAAAGTTTTAGCTTCCTGTAGAATCAGCTGGTCCCCTGAACAGTGGCCCTGATATCCTGATTTAGGGTGGCTCCTTTCCCTTACAGAGTCCTATGGAGCCACCATTGTGGGCTAGTAAGCTGTGTGTGTCTCCACAAACACACAGATATAAAGGATGTCACCAGCACACCAAGCTGTTTGTGTTCAGCAAATGTCCATTTTAATGACAAATGTTGTCATTCAATTGCAAGTACTTTCGGGGCCTCGCAGGGTCCCCTTCATCAAGCTCAGAATGACCCTGCGAGGCCCCCGAAAAGTACTTGCAATTGAATGACAACATTTGCCATTAAAATGGACATTTGCTGAACACAAACAGCTTGGTGTGCTGGTGACATCCTTTAGATCTACGTAATATTTCACGGCGCCAACCGTGGTCACTGCAAGCACCCACTTGCATTCTTTTTCAGAAATCCAGTAAGGAGTGCAGCAAGATACTTATACTTTTCTCCACAAACACACAGGCACAACAAGCAAGATGCTTCCCTGCTCCCCTCTGCTCCTTCCTCCCTTCTCCAAGCTAGTAGATGGAAGGCTACTGAAGACTGCTCTGTCTCTTGTGATCTTGTACAGGATGGGAGGTTCAGGGAAGCCGAGCTGAGAGAGTTGCAGCTGTTTGGAAACATGAGGACTGTAAGTACTTGGGCAAAAATGTAAAGAAATACTTTGCTGGGCAATGTGTATTTGTTGGATCTGGATTCATTATTGCCAAAAAGTTTGATAGTTCAGTACTACTTTAAGTGCAATTCTAACCAAAACAGAGACCTCAGCTTTGGGTGGAGCGGGCAGGGTCTGATTTCCCCCCAGGCACTGACTAATGTCCAGCACCACTACCAAGAAGACTTATAAAAGGAAGCTCAGCTTTTTATACAAGCTTAACTTGTCCTTGGTGCTCCCCAAGACTTCACTACAAAGACATCTGTAAGTAGAAATCAGTAATCCAGCCATGATGAGAGAGCGAACGTTGTGCAACCTGGTCACCCTGGGACAGCAATTGTACAACTGCCATGGTCACGGGGTGAAAATAAAGAAAAGACAAATCCTGAAAATAGAAAACAAATGCAGCCATCACATGTAAGGACGGTCAAGCTGCAATATATTACATTTTTGTTCTTAGGTTGGGTTTGGAGCAGGGTATGGGCAACTCCGACCCTCCAGCTGTGCTTTAACTACAAATCCCAACTTGCCTCTGCCTCTGGGAGTCATGCCTGTACCTGCCAGTCTTGCAATGCCTCATGGGACTTGTAGTTCCACAACAGCTGGAGGGCCGGAGTTGCCCACCCCTGGTTTAGATACACTTTAAGTTACCGGCTTAATGTGTAAGAACCCCAAAGTGCAGCAATGAGATGTAATTTAAACAAAGTAATCAGATCCTGGCGTCATCTCACCTCTGCACCAGACAAACTTTACACATCCGTCTTGTTATATGTAGTGTTACCGCTGTTCATAAATACCCATCACCCTGCGCTATTCTTACCCCTTCCTGCACGCTCGTCTATATATAGGTGCTGCCTACTGATATGTCGGGGGAACTAATCAACTGCTAAAGTGCTTGACATTTAACACGAAGGCAATATCATTTGGACAAAACAGGATTCCGGTGCCCCTGTATCTGTCATCTAATTCTCACCCTATTGACTTCTAGCTTGTCTCCTTTCTTTCCTGTCTTCATCATTTACCACCGTCACATGCAGACTTGTGGCTTCCCATTCGGCATCTCCCAAAAAACACACAGCCCGCTCAACTGCTGAAATAGACTTGCTGCTATGATCTGGTTGATTCCAGGCTGTTCTGATCCATTTGTGATCTTCAGCATTGCTTGAGATGATCACCTGGTCTATTACTGTCCATTGCATGTCACAATGCCAAACCCTGAAGCAGAAGGGGCTGCTTTGGTTTTACAGCGGACCTCCCAGAAATGAATACGTCGCCTACATGTCACATCATTTTGTGACCTAATATTGTACTGGACCCAAAATTGGTGGAGACAGGATTTAACCACAAAGGGCGTAGGGGATTGTTTTCAGTCAGAGCGGTTACATTTTGGAACTCTTCCACAAGCAGCGGTATCAGCAGAGAGTATTGATTCATACAGGGGTACAGGTACTCTTAAAAACCAGACCACACAGGGACTCATACACACACCCAGGTTGAACTTGATGGGCCTGTGTCTTTATTCAACCTCAAATACTATGTAACTATGTAATATAGAGCAATCATCATTTTCACCTTTTATCATTAAGCCCCCATTCACACCTATGCGTATTGTAATATGCGCGTCTGTCGCGCGACCGTCACACGTTTTTTTTGCCGCGATTCGCGGTAAAAAAAGTCGCGCGACCGTCGCGCGATTCCAAAGGCTACTTGGCAGTATACAAATGGAAAACGCCCTACAAAACGGACCAATACGCAGCAAAAAACGCTCCGGGACCTTTTCATGCGTGGGCCGTTTTGTAGTGTGTTCGGGACGGGCGGAAATACGGACAGGTGGGAACAATACCATTGACTACAATGCTATTTATTTTTTTGACCGTTTTGTAGAGCGTTCATCGAGCGTAGGACGCGCTACAAAACGGTCAGGTGTGAATGGGGCCTAAAACACCACCCCTGGTGTCTATTGACTTTGCCCAGGCTGAGATGATGTGATCAGGAAGGAAGAATTTCTTCAGTCTCCTCTCCCCCAGTGATCAGAATATGCATTGCACACCACTAACCATGCAGATGTACCTTCACTGGATTACATTTGGCTTGCTAAAGTCCTGTGTCGCAAAAACAACTGCTTTTGTTTTTTTCCTTAAAAATACGGTTGTCATCTTTAACCATTTGCCATCCAGCAGATTGTAATTAAACGGCTGGGCAGTTCACTCTTGACGGCAGGTGGACGCTTTTCAACGTCCTTTATTTACTGCTGATGAACGCTGTTCGGGCGGCTCTATCACTTGTGCTATCCCAGGCTCTGCTGTCCTCCGTGCAGGCCCGGAACTGGCACAGTGGGTCGCTGCGGTTACATCACAGGGAGATCAGCACATTTCCAGCGACTGACTTCCCTCCGATCACTGAAAGCGTATCTGTATCTTTGCTCCGGGTCAGTGTCTCGTATATAACAAAAACAGCCAAGCAACTTGCATTTTCAGAAGGCCATAAGTAATAGCAGCCTTCATATTTCTATCAGTCTGAGGTTTCCTTCCAGTGTTCAGGTAGAACTCTTGGCTTGCAGTACTAAAGGAAATCCACTGGGTGGAGCTGTTTAGACACAGATTGCTGTATTACAAGACTGGAAGGAAGTTAAAGAGGAACTCACCCATTTGAAGTATTATTTGAAGTATTATTAAAGGAGAACTTTGCCCACCCCGATCTACGCTTAAGAGCGTGAATGGGGGAATCTGCCCCACTAGCTATTGTATTCTGAAAGCCAGCACTAGCGGCTGTCCGATGACCAGTACAGGGACTACAGCTGACTGACAGAAGTCACTATTTGAATAGCAATCTTCCAGCCGGCTCCTTAACAATAGAACAAAAAAAAAACAACAAAACTTTTGTGTGTGTCAATGCAAAGCTTTACAATTGTATTTTATTACGCTTGAAGCAAAATGATAATGTTTCCATGGCAACACAAAGTGGATTACAGGTTCACCTCATAGAGAAAACTTTGCAAATCCGATGTAGGCCTCTCATAAATCAGATGTAGGCCTCTCATAAATCAGATGTAGGCCTCTCATAAATCAGATGTAGGCCTCTCATAAATCAGATGTAGGCCTCTCATAAATCAGATGTAGGCCTCTCATAAACATGTTCATCATCAGCAAATAAAAGGAGGTTTTAGACGAAGCTGCTCATAGACTGTCCAAATTTCTGCTGACTCTGCCCAAATCTGATCCATGGGTGGTCACGCCATCACCACCAGGTCTGATAGAAGGCAATAATTCAACTGACTTATGTTGAAGCAGCTGGGCCGCAAATAGTCAACTGTACAGCGACGACAGCCAAGCAGGTGCAGTCACTGTTCAGGTATTCTGGCAGCTGTGGGTGCCGGCTGTCCGAATACAATAGTCTGGCAGTGAGGATTCATCTATCCATGCTGTACCCCCATTCATACTGCTTAGCTTGTGGAGCTGAACAAGGACAAAAACTATCAGTGCCTGGCACTTCCCTGCCCTTAGGCCTCGTTCACATCATATGCAGTGCTTTCCGGCCGGAACACACTGCCTCGAATTGCGGCCGGCTCACTTTTTTGCCGGGCTGGAGGGGGCATGGCGGGCCATTGACGTGAATTGCACCGTAGCCACGCCCTCCGGCCGCAATGCGATCGCCCGTATGGGATCGCAAGGCACATTGTGCCTACACAGTCCGGTCTGGTGCAATCAAAATAGTGCTTGCAGCATTGGGCCGCAACGCACTGCATATGGTGTGAACGAGGCCTGAACCACTTGCTGACCAGGTGTTTACACCCACTTCCTGTCCCGGCCATTTTTCAGTATTCAGCTGCTCCGGGTGAATCCTGGACAGGTGGCAACCCTAGTGTGGGGGGCAGTGTGCGGCTGGGACCTGG